TAATGAATTCCTGCAAGTAGTAGATAAGTGTAATCCCATTAATCCTCTACACCAATAGCGATGGGGGACGCAATGTGTGCAGAAATGCGTTAAAGTTTTGTAACTGCACCGTTATTACACACATTTGTACCCATCTTGTGCAGCACATATTGTCTAGAGAGCTTTTGATGAATCCTTCATAGTTTCATTTGCATTTTGGAATTAGTATTGTGCAGTATGTTGTACAAGCTGAACTATTCAGGGACAAAACGCTGAGCTGATTAGGTTCGTGCAGCAATAATGGTTGAAATCGATATCAACAAGGAAAATGAGGAGGAGCCGGATTTCTCTGATCCTGAAGATTATGTTGATGATATTACTGATGAAGGTATTGTTTTGTCTTGCCTAAGGAAAATGGTGACTCAATCTTTCAATCTATTGTTCTGTCAATCTTAGAATATGCTATATCTAGAGCTCGTGATGGATGTGTTGCGTCAGCAGCCTTCCAAAGATGAGTACGAGGAGGCCTGTTTGATTATTTTTGGAATTCCCGTTGTTGGACCTGAAAGAATGGGAAAACTCAAGACCGTTCTTGGCAAAGTATTCACAAATGTGGAACCCGACCATAAAGCACACTTTCCTCTAACGGAGGAAGGGGGAAGTAAGGTAAGTAGTTGTTGATACTTTATCAGCATTAATGTCATTGCTGGTTACTATTTAGTATAGGTTTCTACTGGTCATTACTAAATCAGTTTTTTTCTTAAAATTTGTTCGGATGCAGTTTTGCCAGGTATATCTGCTATAGGGTTGCGTTTTCATCGAGTTTCCTGACAAGATAAAAGCAGAATACGCGAGAGGTGTACTGAATGGCTATAAGTTGGACAAAAACCATGTCTTCTCCGCTCTTCTATTCAATGAGGCCAGGCATTTCCAAAAACCTCAGGAGAACTGGCAGCCACCACAGCCTACACCGTACAATGACGTGGTACGTATACCTTTCACATCACTGAACGCCTATTGTGAAAGATTCAGGGAGACTTGTGGTGGTGGATGCAGCACCCGCGATGCCGTGACCAGTTCGCGGTGCAGTACGAGAAAGATGGCGTCCCAACGGTTGCTTGTTACTGGCATATCAAAGGGCATGACCCTGAGATCGCTGGTGATGCGGGCAAAGCTGAACGCCCGGTTAGTTGACGTTTGCCGATGTTTGCTCGTATATCTCTATTTTTCTCAATTTCAGTCGTGGACGGATACCGTTTTCAAATGGTCCCCACACGGGTCTTACATGACTACAATCCATAAAAGAGGCGTGGCTTTGTGGGGAGGACCAGAATTTGCGCGTGTGCAACGATTTGCGCATGATAATGTGCAGTTCATTGACTTTTCACCATGCGAAACGTAAGTTTTTGGTTTCTGTATTTTTTTTTGAGGTTCAATGCCTTGGTGTTCAGTTATTTGGTCACTTACGCCGAATCCGCTGAAAAGAATCGTTTCGGGGATGATGAGGATTGCCTACGCATTTGGGATGTTGTGACTGGCGAAATGCTGAAAGGTTTTTCTCTCTATGCGCTCACCAACCGGGATCAACTCCCTTGTTGGCCGTTCTTCCAGTAAGTCGTGGATGGTTTTACATTTGATGTCTGCAGTTCTTTGTTTGCCTTTAGTATCAGCTTTTAGATGGTCTTTTGACGAGAAATTTTTCGCTTGTTTGAAAGCACCTGAGAAGGACAAACTTGAGAAGGAGAAGAAGGTTGGCATTTTGTTTTTTTAACGCTGATCCTCTATTTCCTATTTAGGTCAATGGAATATCGGTCTTTGAAACGGAGACGTTCAAACTTGTTGATCACCGCAATATCATAGTGGAAAATATAAAAACTTTTTCTTGGAGTCCAACGGCGAATATAATCTCTTATTACGCTGAGGTATGTCTGAAGTTGATGCATGATACTTTACTAAAATTTTCGTTTGTTTTTAGTGCACTGATTCTCTGCCTGCGGAATTCGGTCTTGTGCAAATGCCGAATCAGCAGCGGTTGAGATCTGGACGCATTTACAATGTTGCTGATGCGCAAATGTTCTGGCAAAAAAGCGGTCAGCGCCTTGCTGTGTATACCATGAGGTATGACAGATTTTTTAACTTATTTTAATCAAAAGACGGTTAGCGAGAGCAGTAGACCGCGACTGTATCGGTATGCGTATCCGTATGCTTACAAATCTGATTCATTGCGCGTTTTCTTTGGAGAAAGTCAATAGTGGTTTCGCTCCTACTTTGCATGTCGTTTTTTGATGCGTTTGAAAATACCTGTTGTGAGCTGTTTGCTGTGATTCTTGAGACGTTGGTCTGTGGAGCTTGTGCGTTTAAGTTAGAATCCTTTTCATCTTGCAAAAGCTTTGAGGACCACGCACTAATCACTGCACTACACGCTCCCAAGACAAACATATTGCCGAAGTATAGATTCTGTGAAATACAATTGCTCGCTCCTCGTTTTGTACACCAAAGCTAGGAGCAGTTGAAACATGGGGTGCAGACGCGATATGGGCTACTCACCGTTGATAATGAGCGCGCACCTCTTGGTCATAAACTTTTGGAGACACTTTCGGCGAAAGCATACTGCAGTGCTGAAAACAGTTTGGATATTGACCGAAGAATTCAATAACGAATGAGACGAGCATGGTGCCCGCGATGACCCTCGCCTATGCTAGTGTTCAAGGCAGTCAGATACAGGCCTTGTAAAATCTAACTGCTCGCGTGGGCGCGAGCAGTAAGATTTTACAAGGCCTGTATCTGATTATTACAGCGCAACTCGAATAATCTTCTTGTTTTCAAAGCTTATTCTGTACTTGTTCTATACAGTGCTTGTTCTAGATATTCCAAAAAGCAGATGAAAGAGGGTGGAGAAGTTAAATATGTTGGTGGTTGCACATACCACATCGAAATATTCGAGATACAAAAAGATGTGTCACTGATGAATTTGCCTCTGCCAGAGCCATTCATCAATTTCGGGTGGCAGCCCTACGGTCTGTAAAACTTTATGTGTTTTTGTAGTAGTTCCAATTGCAATTGCCTTAGGGGAGAAATTCTGCGTGCTTACCGGAAACCAAGCAAAGGCAACTCCATTGGTGTACCGGATCGAAGCAAACAGTCATGCACCAAAACTGATGAGCAAGCTGGACGCTGGCGTGCAATTTAATGAGGTAGATTCTCTTTTGAGTACTATCGTCATCTACCCTCGTATTCTGTTTTGGGATTTAGGTGTCATGGGCTCCCGCCGGTGGATGGCTGGCTGTGCTAGCTAAGCGGTCAACGGGTGGTAATGTCATGTTCGTTGATACGACCTTGCAAGAAGCAAAACGTACCAATGTCGTAGAGCATCCAGGTTTCAACAAGGTTGGGATGTATTGCGGACTGGAATTTTTTTTGTAAAAATCGTCATATAGGGATACTGGGATCCTACAGGACGATACTTCGTCACCTGCTCTACTCTGGGTGGTAGAATGGGTGCTGATCTCGGCTTCAGACTGTACACCTTCCAGGTAGTTTCACATCCAAAGGGTACATTTCCATTTGTTCCAGCCATCGTCAACCGATCTTTTTAGGGCCGTGAGTTGTGTAGAAAAGCTTTGGAAAGATTGTCTCAATTCAAATGGCGTCCTCGACCTCCCGTAAAACTCAGCGAACAGAAGTTGAAGGTTGGTGTGTGTTTTCATTGCGTGCTGAAGTCTTGTCTGTGTTAAATGGGTGATCCTTCTGCGGTTTGC